CCCCTTCACCCTTTGAGAAATGCTGTTCTCACCTTCCTATGTGAATCTCTACTCACTTTTTTGAAAGCCACACCCCTCACCCCAAGCCCATCATCTTTCTTCCCATCGGAACAAGTCCCCAAACCTAGTTCTTCAAATCAGGTAACATGGGGGCCCCACTTCTTCAAGATGACATGCTGGCCGTTGGTCCCCTTGGTCCCAGGAGAGTGACACTCTCCAAGCCAAGCTGCCCACAGCAGTGACTCAGGCACACCTGCTGATGTCCCTAGGTTTTCTGATGAGGAACCATCCACATACACAGTTCCTAGAGGTGATACCATTTAGACTCATAATGGGAAGCTAGGATTTTCCTCACTGCCTGGTATTTGCAAGGCAGACCAGCCCCTCCAAGGCCAAAGCCGTGCCCAGCGCAGCCTGGAGGAGCCACCTGTGGAATTGAGTCTTCCTCTTCCCCTGTATACAGCAGGCCCACCCCCGCTTTGTCCCTTCCTAAGAGCTGGGGCAGAGCGGCGCGCTGGAGGCCCCGGTTGGGTAGCATCAGTAAGGCCGTCAGTGCACAGTTGTCCCACAGTTGTCCCCAATAAACTGGCTTGGAAGTGGGACCATGGCGAGGACGCTAAGGAAGCCGGAGGTGGCCGGAGCTCCTCGGGACATGAGAAGCGTCCTAAAGCAGCATGAGCACTCCGTGCGCCTAGGTGGGGTCCAAGTAAAGAAATAAAGCAATAAAATGTGCAGCAGCCTTTATCCAGTCCCCATCTGGTTTTCCTTGTTGCAGCTCCTCGGAGCCCTGGCACCTTCGGGAGCCCCACCCCAGCTGGAATTCACAGGGAGGGCGGTGGCCATGACTCACAGTTACCCAGAGCGCAGCAAGCAGGGCCACGTCTGCCTTCCTGGGGAGACCCTCCTCCCTGCCCCCTTCCTTCCTTCCCACCTCTTGCCCCTCCCAAGCGACAACTAAATGAACCCAGACAACAGCAGCCCGGAGAGGTGGAGCCACCGTCAGCAGGCTGGGCACCCAGAGTGAGGGTGAGGGCCAGAGGACTTGGGGGGAGGGGGGCTCTGGGGAAGGACATTTTGCATCTTCCCAGACCTGCCCCAGCCCCCTGGATTAGCAACTAGGGTTTTCTTGGTCCTTCCAGGATGGGATGGCCTCTACGGACCTGGAAAGGAAGACAGGGCAGGGCTGGTAGGAACACAAGACATGGAGCAATCATCCAGTCCAGGGTCTTCAAACTTTTTTTTTGGCAACAGAACTACTTTTTTTTGACTGAAGGGCGGCCAGCAGAGCTGCTCTGCTGAGAGCTGGGCCCACAGCCTGGCTGACTCTCTGGCCTCACTCTTGTCACCATCAGCCCCCAGATCCTGGAACACAGTTTGGTGTAACTACTAATGCGGTTCATCTGCCCATTTCACAGATGGGGAAACAGACCCCAAGACAGAAGTCTCTTGCCCACAGACTTAAAGTGAGTTGGGGGTTGGGTAGAGCCTAGAATCCAGTGCTTTCTCCAAGGGGCATTCAGGGACAGGGAGCAGGGGCGGCTGTAAGAGGAGACCACTAGGCACGTGTCGTGGGGCAGGGGTCCACACTGAGGAGAGTGGTACCCAGGGCGAAGTGGAGGAGGGAGGAGGCTGGCGTTAAGTCGACACCCCACAGAGGGGCAGCCCAGCCTGCACGACAGACAAGAAAGTAAATAAATCCATCTCTGTCCTCCTCCAGTGGCCACAAATCTGGCCTCTGACGTTGGGAATAACCACCCCTCCATCTCCACTCCTGGACTCTGCCCTCTGCCCCACCTCCCTGCCCCAGGGCAGGGGAGCCCCAGGGCAGGGGAGCCCCGGCCCTTTGACACATGGGCCTTCTGAGACCCTAGAACGTGAGCCCTTGACTGCCCACTTCCTACATGCCCAGCCTCCTCCTGCCCCAGGGAGGGCAGAGCTGTGGTTTTGCACATTATTGGGTGATAATTAGTGTCTTGAGGTCACGCATGTCTGCATGACCCCGATACACCCTGCTGACCGTGAGGCCAGTGTGGACTGTGCACCAAGCTCCCATCCTGCCCTGACTCCTGGGTTTTTCTAGAGAGAGAGGTTGTGGTTTTTGTCACGTTCTCAAATGGGCCTTTGGTCCAAAAGAGGTGAAGAAGCACTGCTGGGGGGAGGGGCCTTCGGTGGGGGGGCTGCGGAGGAAAGGCAGTGGGGTGGGGGCGCTATGTTGGTGACTCTCCTCCCTGCCAGAGGCTTTACAGACGTTACCTGGTTTTATTTCTCTCACCTACCTGTGATATAGGGTGCCGGCCCCCATTGTACGGATGGAGAAACTGAGACTCAGTGACATTAGGTGGCTTGCCCAGGACGCAGCCTGGCTGAGGGATTGAACAAGCCAGGGCAGGGACAGAGGTCCAAGGCGGTGTTGCACTTGGTTCCCCTAGGCCCTCAGCTCCAGAATGTAGCAGGCAGCACTTCAGAAGCCCCCCTTCCCCTGCATCCACACCAGACCTTGAGCCCCCGGACCTAGGGCCCCAGTAGATTATTCCAGCAGCCAGAGAGCCTGGCGCAGGGCATGGCAGCTTGCCTCTGAGGTTCATTCCTGCCGAGTGGAAAACAAAGCCCCCAAGACTGGCACCTTGGTGTCCTCGATGAAGCTTGAAACCCATTCCTTTCTAACAAGGAGGAGGGAGCAAAGTGCCCCTAACAGTCGCCGCGGGTAGGACCCGGCTGGAGCATGGGCTCAGTGAGTTTCCCTGCAGGGCAGGGGCATGGTGTCCTGGCCCCTCCAGATCCATCCAGCAAAGACCCTTTCTTTTCTCTGCTCTTAGAAATGTCAGCCACGAGGGCCGGCCCAGTGGCGCAGCAGTTAACTTCACGTGTGCTGCTTCAGTGGCCCGGGGTTCGCTGGTTCAGATCCTGGGCACGGACTGACTCACCACTCATCAAGCCACGCTGAGGTGGTGTCCCACATAGAAGAGCTAAAGGGGCCTACAACTAGGATATACAACTATGTACTGAGGACTTTGGGGAGAAAAAAGAAAAGAGGAAGTTTGGCAACAGATGTTAGCTCAGGGCCAATCTTCCTCAAAAAAAATAAAAACTAAAAAAAAAAAAAAGAAGGAAATGAAGGTACCTAAAAAAGAAAAAAGAAAAGTCAGGCATCAAACCACAGGGCAGCATCCCTGCCCTCCAGCCTCTCCCCTGCCCTGCTCACCCGCCCTGGTAGAAAAGGCAGACCAGGCCCCAGGCTGAGTCAATGGCCCACCCCCCATTCCTGAAATTCTTTTTTTTTTTGAACATCTTTATTACATGTGATTTTTTTCTTCCAGTGTTATTGAGATACTGTATAAGTTTAAGTGTACAGCATAATGACCTAACTTACATCTATTGCAAGATGATTAACACAATAAGTTTAGTTAACATCCATCACCTCATATAAAAATGTTTTTTCCTTGTGATGAGAAATTTTAGGATATACTCTCTTAGCAACTTTCAAATATACCATACAGCAGTGTTCACTATAGTCATCAGTTGTACATTCCATTCCTGAAATTCTGACAGTTAAAGAAGTCAACTGTTCTGAGCCTTAGTTTCTTCATCTATAAATTGGGAATAATAATGCCCAGCCTACTTGCCTTATAGGGATTTCTAAGAATCACATGAGGAAGGCCTTTAGAAAAGCTCAGGATATCCCACCGAAATGACAGAGAGCAAACCCCTGCTAGGATGCACCCGTCACCCACACATTTCCTGTCCCCAAGTCACTGGACCCTGGCAACCCAGTCTGGGAGCCTTCCTCTCTGGGCTGTGCTGGGGCAGCAAAAATGGGTGGTGCCTGCTTTCCTTGCCTACCCTCAGTGCCCCTTTGGCCCTCACAGTGGGGTGGGGGCAGTCCCCTGGGATCGGAATGTCGTCATTGCGTGGTCTGTGCAAGGCATCACACTAGGAGCAGGAAGCACAGCCCCCACCCAAGGACTACAGAAACTGGGCAGAGGGGTTTGAGAAAAGACAGAAGGTATAGCCACGCTCTTTCACATATAGAGGGTATGAAGTTGAGTCCAACACTAGAGTAGAAAACCATGGTTCTTTACTTCTCTAAAGCAATTAACTTCATTTCCAGCTCCCACCAGCTTGGCTGGTGGGACATTCAAGCTTAGTCGTGTTTGGGGGGCCTGCCCTTTCCCTGGTCTTGTGCGAGAATCTTGGGATCTTACACAGAACATTTGGAGCAGGGCCCTTGGGTCCTAATCCGCACTGGGCGCTGCTCTTGGCCAAGCCCATGGGGTCCCTTGCTGGTGGGCAGGGGTCTCTGCAGAGGCTCCTAGCTGGGGCTGTCAGTGTGTGGTGCCCCCAAACCCCTGACCCTCGTCAGGCTTGGGGAACCTCTGCCCCAGCCTCACCCAGAGCCCCTTGCCTCCATGCTCACTCGCCTGCTGTTAGGAGGACCCCACTTGATATCCTTCCTTAGGGAGCCCTGGTGGGGTTTTCTTCTGGGTGCCTGGCAACTTCTCCTTTCAGCCCCACAACTCGGAAACCCCCCAAGGCAAAGGAACACCAAGGTTGGGTCATCTATAGAAGGAGCAGTAAAAATGTCCTCAGAAGCAATAAGAAAACAAATAAATATCAATACATGATCACAAAGGAGGGGAATTTTACTATGCATGCCGTTTCCAAATTTTGCCCTGGCTGGAGAAGCAGCTATCAGCACTGTGCCAGCCCCGCTTGGCTTCATCCTCAGGGGATCCAGAGAGGCGATGGTTGGGAGGCTATCCTGGGAGAGGTCCATAAACGGGGAAGGCTGTCTCTACGGGGGCTTGTCCTGGCCCCCTGTGGGAAGTTCTGTAGATGCTTCCTTGCAGGTTGGGAAATCTTTTTGAAGGGGAGGTCCCCTCCCTTACCAGGGCTCTGGGGGAGGCTGAGCTGCCTCTAGGGGGCTGTTCGGGACATATTGGGTGGGACTCAAGGGTAGGGCGGGACCGCCCCTGACCTCTGGGCATCCTTCACTCTTGCAGGACCTAGGCATGGAGTCAACCTCGCTGGATGACGTTCTGTACCGCTACGCCAGCTTCAGGAACCTGGTGGACCCCATCACACACGACCTCATCATCAGCCTGGCCCGCTACATCCATTGCCCCAAGCCGGTAGGGCGGCTGTGGTCTAAGCCAGCCAGGTCCGGGGTGTGAGGCAGGGCCTTTCTGGGCAGAGCAGCTCAGTGCCCAGGAAGGGCTGGAGGATGAGCATCCTCATGCAAGCACTGAGGGGATGGGCCTGAGGTGCCCACCCTGTCCTGAGGCCCAGCATCCATGGCAGAGGCTGCATATGGGCACCATCAGAAGAGATTTTCTTTGGCCCCATGGGGTGGGTTAAACCTGGATTCATTGCCAACATTTAAAAATCAGAATATTTCAAAAAAAAAAAATCAGAATATTTCACACAATCCCTCTATTGAAAAATGTGAAGCTCCAGCAACATGAAGCTCTCATTTCTATAGGGCTGGAGCTGAGTAGCCACCCCTATTATGTGGGGCTAGGGCCACCATGTACAGTTGTGTAGGTTGCACCCTGCACAAAGACTTGTAAACACAGAGGTGGCATGGGGTGGGAGGTGAGGGGTGGGAGACAGTTCAAATCCAGCCCTCTCTCTGCCCACCAAGCCATGGGCACTGGTGCAAGACTGTGTCCACCTAGAGGTAGACTTTTTCTCATTTGCACAAAGGTCTCATATAAGTCTAGCAGTGATCCAGCATGGTGCTCTCCAGTTTGCCTCAGTCCCCACCACTCCCAGTTGTCTTTCTCTCTGAGGCTGTGTCATTTTACACCCATCCACTTCACTCAGGTCTACTTCCTGCCTGGCTGCTGGAGCTGAGAAGGAAAAGCTCCAGGGCTCTCCGGGCTCCACAGGCACTGCTCTGCCCCTTCTGGATGGGAGGATCTGCCCCTCTTCTTGCTGGCTCCAGGGTCCAGGCTGGCTTACCCAGAGCTGCCCATGGGGACCTTGGCGGGGAAGGAGAGGGCCAGGGTGGGGCAGCTCCACACTTGAGCTTTTCTCTCTGTTTTGGTGTCTTTACTCCCATTATTCAATTTCCAGCAGCTTCCAAAAGAAGCACTTCTTCTGGCAGGGGCAAGAAGCCAGAGCAGGACGGAGGAGTGAGGGAAGCTTCTGCTCTGAGTAGGATCTAGAATAAGAGGGAGCAGGTGGTTCCCAAGCCCACCCCTCACTTGGCGCAGACTTTAACATGGTCGCCCAGGGTGCTGGCCCCGTGCTCTGGGGCTGAGCCTCTGTGCGGGGCTCTCTGGGGCCGAGGCTCTGAGGAGGGTTAGCTGTGGAGGGCTGGGCCAGTCGGGAGCAGGTTGGTGGTGGATGCAGCAGAAGGCGGGGATGCTGGGCTCAAATGTGCGACGGCAAGAAGCCAGTGATGAGGGTTGGTGGCCTGGGACCCTCAAGGCATGGGGAAGAGGAGCCAGTGTCAGGAGCCACAGAAACCGGCTGGAGCTGGACCCACCCTCGCTTCTCATTCAGCTTACACCTGGCTCAGCCTGGGCAAGCTGAGACCGAGCCTATAGGAAGCCCTGCAGGTGCCAGACCCCGGCCTTTCCTAGAGCATGAATTGAGTTGCCCCCAGGTGAGAGGGGTGATAGAGTTTAGGGCACTCAAAGCAGCGAGAATATTTTATGCCCAATTTAGTGTCAATTTAGTGTCGAGGAAGACGAAGTTTGGGTAATGAAGTGATCTGAGAAAGGTCACATCCCAGGCCAGAAGCCCAGGTGTGGTTTGGGCCCCAGTGCTGCACAGGGTGCAGGCCAGTGCTCAGGGGCTAGCTCTGGGCCATCAGTGCTCACGTGGGGTTCGCAGGGCTGCGCAGGTGGGGGGTGGGGGGCCTGTGTGCGAGCAGCTCGAGCACCCGCCTCCCTCCCCACAGGAAGGGCCTGCAGGGGGTTACCTGCCCGTGTCGGACCCCAGGAGACAGGACAGGGCCAAGAAGGAGAGGAGGGCCAAGGGACCCTGCCCTGCGATCCATCCTTTCCGTCTGGGTGGGGACCAGAGGGCCATACGTAGCTTGTCTCAGCTCAGGCTGCTGTAACAAATTACCACAGATGTGGTGGCTTATAAACAACAGAAATTTATTTCTCACAGTTCTGGAAGCTGGAAGTCCAAGAGCAGGGTGCCAGCGTGGTTGGGCTCTGGTGAGAGCCCTCCTCCTGGTTTGCAGATGGCCGCCTTCTCACTGTGGCCTCACATGGCAGAAGGAAAGAGAGCTAGCTCTCTGGCCTCTTCTGAACCCTCATGACCTCATCTAATCCTAATCACCTCCCAAAGGCCCCACCTCCTGACACCATCACATTGAGATTGAGGTTCAACATATGAATCTGGGGAGACATTCAGTCCATTGCACAGTGTAACCTTTCTCAGGTCACTTAATTAGCTGAACTTCAGGGGCCAGCCCTGTGGCTTAGCGGTTAAGTGTGCTCGCTACACTACTGGCAGCCCGGGTTCGGATCCCGGGTGCACACTGACGCACCGCTTCTCCGGCCATGCTGAGGCCGCATCCCACATACAGCAACTAGCAGGATGTGCAACTATAACATACAACTGTCTACTGGGGCTTTGGGGAGAAAAAGGGAAAACAATAAAAGGAGGAGGATTGGCAATAGATGTTAGCTCAGGGCTGATCTTCCTCACCAAAAAAAAAAAAAAATAGCTGAACTTCATTTTCCTCAGCTCTAAAGTGAACATAACAATACTCTCTCCTGTAGAGCTGCTTTGAAAGTTCAGTGAGATGATTTACGAGAAGCACTGGTGTGTGCCTGTCACCGCTGAGTGCCCTATGCGCAGAGGCCAAGGTGGAACTAATCAGTGAGCACCAGCCACATGCCACGCAGGTGCTCAGACCTAGCAGGTCAGCTGTGGGACACGGAGGAAAGGAAGACACAGCCCCGGGCCTCGGGCCCCGGACCCTGTGGGCTCAGAGTTTTGGACAATAATGGGCTGGCCTCCGACCCAGATTTCCAGAGCCAGCCAGAGTATGGTCAGCCGTGCTGGAGGCCCGGGGGCCTGGCCTGTCCTCTACCCATACCCAAGGCCATGTGGCAGGAGAGGCCCTTTTGAAGGACTCTCTCAGCTGTGGCTGAGGCTGTAGTCGGAGGTCCTGGCTATGGGGTCCCCAAGCTGGTGATAGGGGCAGGCCCTGCACCCACCCCAGCAACCTTAGCTGGCTCAGGGCTGGCCAAGACGTCTGCTCTTAGCTCTTTCATCTGAGAATTTCAGACCAGCCCAAGTGTGGGCCTAGACGTCATAGACAGAGATGTCAAGACCATCAGCTATGTGGGGGGATGAGGGGGTCTCCCTCAGCTTGAGATGGGGTGAAGAAAATGACCCTCTCTGGTCCAATCTCAGGGTGAAGTATCCACAAGACAGATAACCTTCCCACTGCTATGATGACCACCTCGAATGAATCCCATCTATTTTTTCAACCTGCCAAACACCAAAAACCCTCTCCTGTGTCCCAGCAGAGTGTGGGCCAAGGCCCTAGAAAGAGGTGGGTCTGTGCCTGCCCCAAGAAGGAGGGACAGGCCCATGACTGTGTATTGATGAACCCCAAGTCTATATCTGCAGCCTGGCTTCAAATTCTAAAGTCACCCACCTCTGGGACATTTCCACCCGAGTGTCCCTCAACTCACCACCCCTCCCCTACCCAAAACTCATTCCACTTTTAGCACCCATCATCTGTCAGGAAACTTTAGAGACTCTTTCCTTCCCTGCACCCCAGCCCCACCCCAGCACATTCATTCCATCATGTCTACAGTCAGGTTCCCCACAAGCAGACACTAAAATGAGGGTGTGCGTACAGTGATTGTTGAGGAAGTCTCCCGGGGAAACCAGGTGAGCTCGGGCGCGTCCTGCGGAGGGCGGGCAGCTTCCACGTGGTCCCTGGGGTACTCTGTGTAAGCTTCTCCACAGGGTTGTCTCCACCCGAGGCGGAAGGGCTAGGCTTGCCAACTCCTGCTCTGGTCAAAATGGAGGCAGCCCAGGGGATGAATTCGCAGCAGTTCTGTCTCCCTGAGCTTGCCTGAGGGAGGCTGCTGCAAAGCAGAACTGGTGCCAGCTCTCCAGGCAGAAGCACATCCCAGAAGAGAGGTGCACAAAATCGGGAAAAGGGGATCCAAGGGGATTCGGACGGAGCACCGCGGGACAGTCAGCAAGTCCTGACAATCCTAGCTCCCTAATGTGTCCAGGCCATCTCCACGGCCTTCCTAGTTCCAGCCACATCCTCCTCCTCCAGGGCTACTAACTGGACTCTGGGCCTCCCCTCCTGCCTCCCTGCCCTCTATACTCTGGGAGCAGCCAGAGAGCAATCTGCAAAGGTAAATTGGATCATTTGTGTACCTCTCTGGAAAACCTTCCACGTGCTGTTGAGTTGTAGTTTAAAACCTAAACTCCTTCTCTGGCCCTGCCTGAATCTCCCATCTCATCTTATCATCTCATCTCATCTCTCCCACTCTCCACACTGCTCGCTCCCCCTCCAGCCACGTGGGCCTCCTCTCTGTTCCCAGAGCATCCAGATCCTCTCCTACCTTAGGGACTTTGCTACCTCCTCTGTCTGAGCTTCCCTCTCCTCCTTTCAGACTCAGCTGAAAGGTCACCTCTCAGAGGCCTTTGACCACGGAGGTCTCCGGATCAGCCTCTGTCTCACGCCCTGTTTATTTCTTCATTTATTTCTTCATTTCACTCCCTGGTCTCTGAAATTATCTTGCTTATTTATTTGTTGGCTAACTTATGGTCTGCTTTCCCCACTAGAATATAAACTCCAAAGGCGCAAAAGATGGCGTCTGTCTTGTTCACGGTTATGTCCTGCACCAGGCAGGGGAAGCAGGCGACCCTTTCCATTGTGAATTTTTAAGAGAGTTTAATAAGGGACTATTTCTAGGGTTGTGGGCAAGATTAAGGAAATGAACAGGGGACGCTGAGACACCCAGAGACTCGCAGCAGCAGGAAGTTGTTACTACAGAAGGGGCTCCGGGCGGAAGCCGTGTTGCTGGAGCCGGGATGAGAATGCCTCTTCCAGAACTGTGTTGTATTTTCTATTGCTGCATAACAAATTACCCCAAGCCTTAGTGGCTTCAAACAACAGACATTTATCTTT